GCTGCAATGCTGCTGCAATGCTGCTGCAATGCTGCTGCAATGCTGCTGCAATGCTGCTGCTGCTGCTGCTGCAATGCTGCTGCTGCTGCTGCTGCTGCTGCTGGTGGTGCTGCTGGTGCTGCTGCTGCTGCTGCTGCTGCTGCTGGTGGGCAGCAGCTGGGCGTTGCGCGCGTGGACCCGCAGGTACGTGGGCCAGGACGACCCGGTGGCGGAGAAGATCTTCCGGCTTGCTGCGAGCCGGGAGGAAGCAGCAGCAGCAGCAGCAGCAGCAGCAGAAAACGGAGACAGTTCGATAACCACTTTGTTCGTGGGGGGGCTGCCCGAGGGCACGCGGGAGACGCAGCTGCTGCAGCAGCTGCGGCCCTTCGGCGAAGTCCTCGCCGTGCGCATAAACCCTCTCAAGAAAGTGGCTTTTGTTTGCTTCGCAGAAAGAGCAGCAGCAGCAGCAGCACTGCAGCAGCTGGCGGGGCAGCTGGTGATCGGGGGGGCCACCATGCGGCTGTCCTGGGCCAGGCCCAAGGCCCGCGCAGCAGCAGACAGCAGCAGCAGCAGCAGCAGCAGCAGCAGCAGCGCAGCAGCAGCAGTCCCCGAGGGGTACCTCGCGCCCCCAGTCCCGGGACTGCCCCCCCTGCCCCTCCCCTTGGGGGCCCCGGGGCCCCCCCCTGCGGTCTTGGGGGCCCCCGTACCCTACCGCTCGATGTTGCCTTCGGAGGCGGAGTTGTCGCGCCGCTGAAACCCTAAAAAAGGGTTTGCAAACCCTAAACCCCAGCGCCCAAACCCGACCCCGCGAAACCCTCCCTCTCCTCGCAACGCTCACGCGCACTTGCCCGCCGCGCTGCAGAGGGTTTGGGGTCTGGCGTCTAGGGTTTAGGGTTTAGGGTTTAGGGTTTAGGGTTTAGGGTTTAGGGTTTAGGGTTTCTTGCGTTTGAGAGGGATGCGACTCGCCGGACTCAACCGGGTCTTTTCTTTTTCTGCTTTCCTTCTTGGCCTTTGAGGTGTACGTACACCTGAACTTCTTGCTGTGGCCTTTGAGGTGTACGTACACCCCAGCGCCGCTGCATGCGTTTTTGCATGCGATTTTGCATGCGTTTCTTTTTCTCGTCTGTACACCGAAATAAGTCCCATTTGTCTCAGCAATAAAGAGGGCCATTTGCAGTTTTATTTGCAGTTTTTGTTTGAGTTTGTGGCGGAGAAAAAGTTGTTTTTAAATCTATTTTCATAAATTTCTATTTTCATAAATTTATATTTTCATAAATTTCTTCTTAAAGTCTGCATGCGTTTATAAAACTTTTTGCAGTGTGTCTGTCTATATATTAGTATTTATCAGTCCTTTTTACATTTATATATTATACAAATATATATATATATACAAATATATATATATATATAAATATTTATACACAAATATAATAATATATATATAGTATATGGTATATACCACATATATAAATACATTATAATATAAAAAGTGTATTCTGGAATAAATTAATAACAATTATCTTTATTTATTGTTTGTTGTAATTTGCCAGCGCATATTTATAATAATATATAATATAATAAATTATAAATGCATGCATTTACTATAAAATAGATATATATAAAGTAACTCTATTTATAAACTGCATGTATGTTTATAAGCAGTTTACATAAATAAATATATTTATATTTATATTTATATTTATATTTATATTTATATTTATATTTATATTTATATTTATATTTATATTTATATTTATATTTATATATGCATGCATGCATGCACGAGAATGAGTAAATAGAGTATTTAAGTAATCAACTAATTAGTTAAATTAATTAACTAAACAGTTAATTAATTAAATCAGTTAATTACTAAATCATTTAACTAACTAAATGAATTAATTGGCAAACAAAACTAATTAATAACCTGCAGCAGCAAATAAAAAGAAAAGTATTTTAAAAACACTTTTAATTAACTCTCGCAAAACAACAAACTGCGGTGTACGTACACCCCAGCACTTGGGGTGTATGTACACTGCAGGCTTTTGGCCTTGGGCGCTTTCCGCAGCTGCAGCTGTACATACAGGCGGAAGCAGGGCAGCAAACAGCAGCAGCAGCAGCAGCAACAGCAGCAGCAGGAGTAGCAGCAGCAGCAGCAGCAACAGCAACAGCAGCAGCAGCAGCAGCTTCAGGGGAGGTGCAGCAACGGCAGCAAGTTTGTCAACCAGTAAACACAGAGGGCCACGAAGGCCGTTTCTTTCCCCTCCTATTTTGAATCCTTGTCTGCTGCTTGGCTAGCTAGCTAGCTAGCTAGCTAGCTAGCTAGCTGGCTAGCCAGCTAGCTAGCTAGCTAGCCATCTAGCTAGCTGGCTGGCTAGCTAGCTGGTTAGCTAGCTAGCTAGCTAGCTGCAGCAGCGGCTTCTCTTGTGCTGCTTCTGGCCCTAAGGTTGGACTTGAAGTGGAGGGCTCAGCAGCTGAGGCGCAGCAGCGGGAGAAGCCCTGGGGGCTGCAGCAAACCCTAAACCCTAAACCCTAAACCCTAAACCCTAGCGTGGCTGGGGGCTGGCGAGAGCAGCGGCTAGCTGGAAGCAGCGCGAAGCAGCTGCTGCCTCTCTGTGTCTTCCGCTGCGCAGCAGAAGCGCAAAAAGAATTAAAAGAATAAAAAAGAATAAAAAGAATTAAAAAGAATTAAAAGAATTAAAATAAATGAAAGAAATTAAAAGAAATAAACAAAAAAGAAAAGTCCGAAGACTCCGCGGCGCCACTGAATCGAGGTGGGGGGGCGGGCAAAGGGGGGGCTGGGCTGGACAAGAATTTGCAAAAGAGGAAAAGTTGGAAATTAAATTAAAATTAAATTAATTAAATTAAATTAATTAAATTAAATTAATTAAAAAAGAATGCAAATAAAGGCCTGCTCGCCGCCGCGCTGCTGCTGCTGCTGCTGCTGCGGCGCCAGCGGTACTACCGCCTCGGCAGCAGCAGCAGCAGCAGCAGCAGCAGCTGGAACGCTGAAATTCAACTAAGTTCATTCAATTAAACTTCTTTAAATGCAATTTAATTTCTATTTTGTTTATTTGCTGCCAAACTTATTTTTAAAAGCCCTGTCAGCAGCAGACTCGGCGAGGCAGCTGCTGCTGCACCAATACACTCGGATCCTTCGGCCTACACTGCAGCAGCAGCAGCTGCGACTGCTGCTGCTGCTGCTGCTGCTGCTGCTGCTGCCTTAGCTGCTGCCCAGTTGTCATAAGTGCAGCAGCAACAGCAGCCGCCAGCAACCGCCTGCTGCTGCAGCGCCGAGTCGCCGCTGCTAACCCCGAGCCCTCTGCTGCTGCTGCTTCTGCTGCTGCTGCAGCTGCTGCTGCTGCAGCTGCTGCTGCTCCAGCTCCACCGGGATGGAGAGGACTGATCTTTGGCCCAGTGAATGGAGGCTCTGCTAGGGGAGCTGCTGCAGCTGCTGCGGCTGCTGTGGCCTCGGCTGCAGCAGCAGCAAACCCGTCCGCAACATCTGCTGCTGCTGCTGCTGCTGCTGCTGCTGACAGCAGCAGCGGCACAGGGAGATGCTCTCCGGGCCCCGAACATCCACAGTGCAGCAGCAGCTGCAACAGCAGCAGCAGCAGCAACTGCTGTTGCTGCCACTACAGTGACTGCAGCGGGAATACCGGCTCCCAGCCCCGTTGCTGCTGCACAACTCCCAGAAGCAGCAGCAACAGCAGCAACAGCAGCAACAGCAGCAGCAGCAGCAGCAGCAGCCGTGTATGACTCAGAGAGCGGGGAGAGCAGCAGCTCTCAGGCAGAGTTGCAGTCACAAGAAAACAATGCGGGCAGCAGCAGCGACAGCAGCAGCAGCGACAGCAGCAGCAGCAGCAGCAGCGACAGCAGCAGCAGCAGCAGCAGCGCTGCGGCTGCATATGAGGGCAATGTCGTGTACGTATCGCCTGTGCTGGAGCAGCAGCAGCAGGGACAGCAACAGCAAAACGAGCAGCAGCAGCAGCAACAGCAAAACGAGCAGCAGCAGCAACAGGAGCAGCAACAGGATGAACAGATGCAGCAACCGCAGCAGCAGGTAGGCGAGCTGCAGCAGCAGCAGCCAGTGCAGTTGGAGCAGCAGCAGCAGCTGCAGCAGCAGGATGAGCTGCAGGAGCAGCAGCAAAGTCAACAACTGCAGCAGCAGCAGCAGCAGCAGGTTCAACAGGAGCTGCAGCAGGAGGATGCGCAGCAGCAGCAGGTTCAACAGCAGCGGCGGCAGCAAGACGAGGAGCCGCAGCAACAACTGCAGCAAAAGCAGCAGCTGCTGCGAGAGAAGCAGCAGCAGCAAGAGGAGCCCGGGCAACTGCAGCAGCAGCCACTGCAGGAAGCAGAGCCGCAGCAGCAGCAAGCGCAGCAGCAGCAAGCGCAGCAGCAGCAGCAGCAGCAGCAGAGGGAAGCAGCTGTGGGAGAAAGGCCCTGCCTTTCGGACAATGACACAGAGTGCCAGCGAGCAGCAGCAGCAACAGCAGCAGCAGCAACAGCAGCAGCAGCAGCAGCAGCAGCAGCAGCAGCAGCAGCAGCAGCAGGGCCCACGGGGGCCCGCCTCCGGGCCCCCGCAGGCCAGTCTGCATATGGAGACGAATTAAGAGACAGTCTTTTGCCCGCAAACAACTTTTTAAATGAGGGGGCCCCCCAGGGGGCCCCCCAGGGGGCCCCCCAAGGGGCCCCCCAGGGGGTCCCCCTGCCTGGGGGCCCCTTAGGGGGGCCCCCCCCGTTGGGGCCCCCTCTCCAGGGCCCGCCCCCAGAGCAGCAGCAGGGGGCCCCCGCAGCAGCAGATCTGCCCTCGGGGGCCCCCTCAGCCTGGCTGCCACAGGGGGCCCCCCAGCAGGGTACCAAGAGGGCCCCCCAGCAGGCCACCAGGGGGGCCCCCCAGCAGGGTACAGGGGGGGGCCCCCAGCAGGGTACCGGGGGGCCCCCCGTGGAGAGCGGCGGGGAGGGGGAGCTGCTGGAGGTGGATGGGTCGGGGGGCCCCCCGAGTTTGGGGGGCCCCCCTGGGGGCCCCCCTGGGGGCCCCCCTGGGGGCCCCCCTGGGGGCCCCCCTGGGGGCCCCCCTGGGGGCCCCCCTTTTGCTGTTGGGGGCCACTTCGCAGGGTCTGTGGAGGGGCAGCTGCTGTGTCTGCATTGGAACTTGGCGAATGCTGCTTTGAGTTTGCTGCTGCTGTACGCCTGCGCCCCGCGGCGGCTGCAGCAGGCAGCAGCAGCAGCAGCAGCAGCGGGGCAGCCAGCAGCAGCAGCAGCAGCCGCCGCAGCAGCAGCAGCAGCAGCAGCAGCGCAGCAGGCCGCGCGCCTGCCGCCGCTCACGCACCGCCTCTTCGCCTTCAAGGGCCTCCCGCGTTCCGCGGGGCCCCCGGGGGCCCCCCGGGGGCCCCCGGGGGCCCCCCTGGGGGCCCTCTGCGCCGCCGGCCAAAGCGCGCAAGCCGCGTCGGGCGCGCTGCATGCGCTGGGGTGTACGTACACCTCGCCGCGGGCCTCCGTGTGGGGCTGGGGTGTATCGACAGTGGCAGTGGGGAGTTCCTTCGGGGGCCCTTTTGCTGCGCTGCTGGCCAACTGTCTTTCTGCGCTTTACGACCTCGCGCTCCTCGCCTTCTAAACCCTAAACCCTAAACCCTAAACCCTAAACCCTAGGCCCCAGCACGCAGCGCCCCGCGCCCGCCCGGCGAGCTGCGCAGCGGCCTCACTCCGCAGCTACCTACCTAGCTAGCTAGCTAGCTAGCCAGCCAGCTAGCTAGCTAGCGAGGTGGGCCCACGGAGCCTGCTGAAAAGTTTAAAAGTTTGAATTTAGGGTTTGTGGGAGGGCTAGGGTTTAGGGTTTAGGGTTTTGAGAGTGTTCAGGGGGGCGCTAGCTAGGGTTTGGGGTTTGCTGCAGCGGCCCCCAAACCCTCAGCAGCAGCACGAGGGTTTACAGGAGGCCTCGGCCAAACCCTCAGCAGCAAGCGCCAAACCCTCAGCAGCAGCACGAGGGTTTGGAGGGCTAAACCCTCAGCAGCAAACGCTAAACCCTCAGCAGCAGCACGAGGGTTTGGAGGGCTAAACCCTCAGCAGCAAGCACTAAACCCTCAGCAGCAGCACGAGGGTTTACAGGATTAAACCCTCAACAGCAGCACGAGGGTTTCCAGGCTCCGGCCAAACCCTCAGCAGCAGCACGAGGGTTTAGAGGCCCAAACCCTCGGGAGCAGCACGAGGGTTTAGAGCTCTAAACCCTCAGCAGCAGCACGAGGGTTTAGAGCTCTAAACCCTTGGGAGCAGCACGAGGGTTTAGAGCTCTAAACCCTCAGCAGCAGCACGAGGGTTTAGGGTTTAGAGGGCCCTGGTGCCGGAGAACAAACCACTTCTGGTGTCTTCAAGTCCGTCTCTGTCGTGAACATATCCGACGCTTTTGCTGCAGGTCTTTTCGAACAAATAAACCTCCTTTGCGCACTGCGAAATGTCCCCGTCGGGCACTAGTTTCTGCTGCTCGCTGCTGCTGCTGCTGCTGCTGCTGCTGCTGCTGCTGCTGCTGCTGCTGCTGCTGCTGCTGGGGGGCTTGAGCTGGTGCTGCTGCAGACACTCCAGCAGCGGCCGCATGGTGCAGACGATCTGCCCGGACTTCTTGGAGGAGTTCGGGGCGTTGGCGGCGAGCATCCCCTGAGCCTTTTTGGATAATTGAAGGGATAAAAAGGAATAAAAAGAGCAATAAAAGAATAATAAAAGGAAAAAAAAGAGAAAAAACGGAAAAAAATGAACTAATTCCGCAGCTTTCCACTCAGATCCTCGCAGATCAGCTCTTTGCAGCTTTCGGCGCCCGCGCCATCTGCTGCTCCTCCGGGTCTTCCGAAGCTCGCAAAGCGTCGGAAAAACAAAAAAGGAATTTAAAAGAATTAAAGTGATTATTAAATTGCGAAGAAAAGAATTAAAGTGAAGAACTGGACAGGTGTGGCGGCGGAGCGCGCTGGTCTGAGGTGTACAGACACCTGGATCTGAACGCAAGGGCAGCCACCTCAGCAGCTGCAAAGGACTTTCTCGTTCTTTTTTCGGAGAATTAAACGAATTTGGAGTTTTATTTTAATTTATTTTGACATTTGTTGCAAAAAATCGACAAAACAACTAAAATACTGCCTTTTGCATGCAGCCCCGACGCCGCCTATCTACCAAAAGGCTCTTCTGGCCAAACTGTTCCACTTCAACTATTAAATGGGGTGTCTGTACACCGCAAATGGACCTTTTCTTGTCCCCCAGTCAAGCGACAGCCTCTGCAGGAACTAGGGTTTACTTAGGGTTTAGGGTTTAGGGTTTAGGGTTTGCAGAGGCCTCCTCGAGCCCTGTGGCCCTCGCGGACACCGCTCTAGCTACCTGCCGCGCAGCAGCAGCAGCAGCTGCAGCAGCAGCAGCAGCAGCAGCTGCTGCTGCTGCAGCAGCAGCAGCGGCAGGCGCTGCTGCTGCTCAGTGTGCGTTGTTTCTACTACCTGCAGCAAAGCCATTCTGCTGCTGCAGCAAAGTTGGCTGGGAGCTTCAGGGGCC